GGTTATATAAATAACCGTTGGCATTCTTCGGAAGGTCACCTCGATGGTTAATTAGATGGCGTCTAGACTAAAATACACACGAAATGCTGATACATAATTTCGAGTTTATTCATTGTAAATTGTTTATTTTAGACTTTTTTTTATTTGGATATATGTTTTAGTATGTTATAAGTCGAATATGAAAATTTGAGTCAAATTGGTGAACATGAATTTGACAGCTAGTGCCCCTTTAATTCTAATTTCTTCATTTCTGAAATAAAGAAGAAAGCAAGAAAATTTTTAAAAAAAATTATGAAATCAGTTAAATCCTTGTCATTATAAATATACATAGAACTTGAAGAAGCTGGGCAGGTCCTATTGTGTTAAAGACTGACTATTCTATTTGATATAGGCTATATTTACCAAGTGAGTGTTAACGGCTCTTTGAAGCCTCCTGTTCATTTCTTGTAACACTAGTACTTTAACAGAAAGCAAACTTTTTTTGGGATATGAAGTAGATAGCACTAGATATGTGTTATCAACCTGTTTGATGTAGGAAATAATTTAATTTCTTTTTAACATAGCAAGGTGTACGAAGCTAATTGTACAAGAATAAGAAGCGCTATACATTAATAAAAATATCAAACATAAAATAATAGTTTTTGTAATGTAATGTTTCTCTTGAATTTAAAGTCTAAGGTATAATTTTCTTGTTTGCAAAGAATAATTCAATGCTTTTTGGGGATTGGCAGTATAGATGTCGTCAAAGGTAAGATTTATAATGCAGTCCAAATAAGAACTTTGTAGGGTAGATAATTGTATCAATTATTAATTATTGTTATGCATGGTCTATCCACCATATTGATGGATATATAATGGATTCTGTTGCTCATGTTGGCTTTCTTTTTACTTTTACTTCTGAGGTTGTGAGTTCAAATGCTGCCCTTCGCATGGTGACTCTATTCCTAATTGCTTGTTTTTCCTGCCGAAAGTATGTGGTTCTCTCAGAGTACTCTCTCTAGCTTGCTCCACCATTAAAAACTGGGTGCCATGATATAGAATAGTTTTGACTTCTATTCATGTTAGCAAAATTTATATGTTCAATTGTAGATGACTAAGAATACTGACCTATGGAAACAAAATGCTCAGAATTATTGAAATGAATAAAATGATGCATCATTTTAATGGTATAAACAATAAAAGACTTTGGTTATGAGTTGTCAGCTATGGATGACTTTGGTTATGAGTTGTCAGCTATGGATGACTTTGGTTAGGAGTTGTCAGCTATGGATGACTTTGGTTAGGAGTTGTCAGCTATGGATGACTTTGGTTAGGAGTTGTCAGCTATGGATGACTTTGGTTAGGAGTTGTCGGCTATGGATGACTTTGGTTAGGAGTTGTTGGCTATGGATGACTTTGGTTAGGAGTTGTCAGCTATGGATGACTTTGGTTATGAGTTGTCAGCTATGGATTACTTTTGCTACAAGTTCTATGGATGACTTTGGTTAGGAGTTGTCAGCTATGGATGACTTTGGTTAAGAGTTGTCAGCTATGGATGACTATGGTTAGGAGTTGTCAGCTATGGATGACTTTGGTAAGGAGTTGTCAGCTATGGATGACTTTGGTTACGAGTTCTATGGATGACTTTGGTTATGAGTTGTCAGCTATGGATGACTTTGATTAGGAGTTGTAAGCTATGGATGACTTTGGTTAGGAGTTGTCAGCTATGGATGACTTTGTTTAGGAGTTGTCAGCTATGGATGACTTTGGTTATGAGTTGTCAGCTATGGATGACTTTGGTTATGAGTTGTCAGCTATGGATGACTTTGGTTAGGAGTTGTCAGCTATGGGTGACTTTTGTTATGAGTTGTCATCTATGGATGACTTTGGTTAGGAGTTGTCAGCTATGGATGACCTTGGTTAGGAGTTGTCGGCTATAGATGACTTTGGTTAGGAGTTGTCAGCTATGGATGACTTTGGTTATAAGTTGTCAGCTATGGATGACTTTGGTTAGGAGTTGTCAGCTATGGATGACTTTTGTTACAAGTTCTATGGATGACTTTGGTTATGAGTTGTCAGCTATGGATGACTTTGGTTAGTTGTCAACTATGGATGACTTTGGTTGGGAGTTGTCAGCTATGGATGACTTTGGTTATGAGTTGTCAGCTATGGATGACTTTGGTTAGGAAAAGTCAGCTATGGATGACTTTGGTTACATGTTCTATGGATGACTTTAGTTAGGAGTTGTCAGATATGGATGACTATGGTTACGAGTTCTATGGATGACTTTGGTTATGAGTTGTCAGCTATGGATGACTTTAATTAGGAGTTGTAAGCTATGGATGACTTTGGTTATGAGTTGTCAGCTATGGATGGATTTGGTTATGAGTTGTCAGCTATTGATGACTTTGGTTAGGAGTTGTCAGCTATGGATGACTTTGTTTAGGAGTTGTCAGCTATGGATGACTTTGGTTAGGAGTTGTCAGCTATGAATGACTTTGGTTAGGAGTTATCAGCTATGGATGACTTTGGTTATGAGTTGTCAGCTATGGATGACTTTGGTTAGGAGTTGTCAGCTATGGATGACTTTTGTTACAAGTTCTATGGATGACTTTGGTTATGAGTTGTCAGCTATGGATGACTTTGGTTAGTTGTCAACTATGGATGACTTTGGTTAGGAGTTGTCAGCTATGGATGACTTTGGTTATGAGTTGTCAGCTATAGATGACTTTGGTTATGAGTTGTCAGCTATGGATGACTTTGGTTATGAGTTGTCAGCTATGGATGACTTTCAGGGTTGGCAAAAACCCGGGTTTTATGAGTATTGCCCAGCCCAGTGGGAAATACTGGGAAAACCCGGGTTTTACTGGGTTTTACTGGGTAATACTGGGCAATACTGGGTAATATGAAATACTGGCCTATATTTTAAAGAGGATTCAGTGATTAATCACAAATGCAATACATTAAAGTCGAAGAATTAATTTTTTTATTTTAATGAAATATAACCAGATATAACTAATATTTAGAATTAACAATTCTATGTAAGGAAAATTACTTTTAAACATTTTTTGTTCAGTACTAAAAATGTTTACTTAGTCTTAGCATATGTTTATGTACATCACTAATTAATAAGTAATTATTCAGATTATAACACAGATTTATTTATATAACAATAATCAGCCTTGTGATTTCTATAAGTTTTCATGTCCTGTCCCCTTAGGGTGTTTATTTAGCATTATATGATTGTATAACAATTAAAAATTACAATTCACATAAACACTGCAATAAAATGCATTTTTGCAACTTGGATTTAATATTGAAACAAAGCTTGGAAATTAACAAGGTATCCTGAAATGTCCAGAACTTGTATTCTGCCTACATAGAATTAGTGGAGAAAAGGAAGAAATTGAATTTTCAATCTTCAGGAATGACTCGCAATGGTTATCTGTATAAAATGTATACATTTAGCTATAATTCTATTAAACTATAACAAATCTTTACTATTTTGTGTAAGAATAAGCTAGAAAAATCATATTACCCAGTATTGCCCAGTATTACCCGTTTCTAGGAGTATTGCCCAGCCCGGGAAGACCCGGGTTTTCCCACCCGGGTTTTCCCGCCTGGGTAATACTTTGCCAACTCTGATGACTTTGGTTAGGAGTTGTCAGCTATGGATGACTTTGGTTAGTTGTCAGCTATGGATGAAAACATAAAAACTTGCATATAATGTATGTAAATAAATAAATATAGATGCTCTTTGGAGGATAAAAAGGTTCAGAACATTGGAAAATAATTCTCAACAAATAACCAAAATTTGATATTCAACTTTAACAAAGATATAAGTGAAAAGAAAAGCTTGTCTGAGGCGAAATTACTGAATTTTATAAATTTATTACAAACTTAGCATGAGTTCAGAATTTTACATGTTATTTACATATATTACCATATATATATAAATTTGAAAGTATATAGGTCACACACTGGTGATAGGTTTATTATGTACTTTTTGTGGGCGTAACATAATGATTGCATTTATTACACCATCAAAGATGTTTTAACACTGTTAACAATACTGTGATCAGAATGTGTTCCAGGATTTTTATTCTGAAAGTTGACCTTGACCTCTAAAATAAAATTTTAAAATAAAATTTTAAAAGCCAGTGCATATGGTACTGTACTATGCTTAAACTGCAAATTTGGAAGATCTAATTTGGAGTTATTTGATTTACAATGGAAATTTTTTTATTATTTTATGTATTTGCACCAAACTTCCTGCATGTTACATGTTGGTTATTTCATTTTTATTTGATTTGTCCCAAATTGTAATAAACAGAAGAAATGGTAGTAGTTCATTAGCAAAAAGATTTAACAATCCTCACAGTTTACAATCTTTATTTAAAAATCAACTCAGTAAAATTAGTGGGGGAAAGGGGAGGGGGGAATAATCATTAAGTTTTGAAAACTGAAGGTGTATTTTGTATGTCCTCAATATTTCCATATTTCTTTGAAATTATTGTTTACCCCATTGTTTGTCAGTTGTAATTTTGAAATATCCAATTTTCAAAATTTAGACAAGTGTAAAAATTAATTTTGTGGTTAGGAGTAGTTATCTCCCTTAGAAGGAAATTAATTAGATGATGTTTTTCTTATCAATGTTGATTTTACTATTACCAAATCCTCTTAAGCATGTTAAGTGCTTTCCACTGTTCAATAACACCTTCATTGATTTTTTTCTTCAAACTTGTGCTATCTTTTATTCTTATCTTGTTTCATTGTAAATCTTAAATCTTACAAAAATAAATACTGAAAGTTAAATGAACCAGAGAGAAAGTTATGATTGTCCATTTTATTGTTGGCCCCAACTGCCCAATACTGTATTAATCGAAACATGTATATCAACTAATCTTTCCACTGCCCGGAGCAATATGTAGTTTGGAAAGGCTAAATCAAAATAGGAGAAAATTTGATAAAGTTGTAGAACAAGTTGTTTTACGCACTATTATGTACTGTGGATGGGGTTTACAGTTGAGTGGTTATGTAGGGAAGAACAGAATTTAATTATATAGTGTTGATACATTTTTTGTAAAAGTAAAAAGCTTTGTCAAAATTGATCCTATTACTGTACTTGCGTCAGGCATTCTATTGAGATGCTGGGATAATAACTTACAGTCTTCTTAGAGAATAAGCTTCAACACAGATAACATCTCACAGTGGACATCTGGAAGATAATTTACTTCATTCAAAGAAGAAGATTTTTAACAGGGAAGAAGTGCAATTGACTATTATTCGATTTTGATCAGCTGATTGAACTCTGAAGCTGACATACATTCTCAACAGAAAGAAATCAATTTCATTGGCAAACTGGGGATTTTTTTCATTGACTGTGCATTTAACAACTGTTTGTGTGTAATTGTTTGTTTGTGAACAAGTGTGTATGTTGATAGATAGCATAAATCATCATTTACGTAGGAATTAGTTGTGTGGTTGGTTACATTTGCATCAATAAGTATTCAAGTTTCACTGAATTAATTGAAAGGGAAATTAAGAATGCTCATAATTATGTGGAAGAATTAATTAGATTTATGCGATTGTAGAGTGTGATTACTCTGATGTATTGTTATTAGCCTCAAGGAGTTTACACATAAGTTGTAATATCTTTAATAACTTTATGACAAATTATTAGAATATTTCCATTTGATTGGAGGCCTTTGATTAGTGTTAATTAGGTCACATTGTACCTGGAGAGAAAGCTACGTTAATTAACATTGTAAAATAATGGGAAATAAGTTTCGTAAATTTACGATTTCTGGTGGGAGTAGTGGTGAGAAGGAAAACAAATCAAAAGACAATGTCGAGGCCACAGCTGCAGCACAGAAAAGTGAAAAGGCCCCTGAGGACCAAAACGATAAAGTTCAAAATGATATAAAACAGTCTGAATCTCAAAACAAAACTGACACAGGACAGGATGTTGTTTTGAAAGAGGATTCAACACCCCAGAGTGATGAGAACAAATCTGACACAGGGCAGGGTGTCGATTTGAAGGAGGATGCAAAACCTCAAAGTGATGAAAATGAAAAGACTGATGAAAATCAAGTTGAAAGTGAAAGTGAAAGTAAAGAAACCAAGTCAGAAGAAGTTGGGTGGAAAGCAAGTGAACCTCAGGTCATTGATGAAGTAAGTTATATTGGTCATTTCTGTCCTGTTATTTTACACACCAATTGAGTGTTTCAGCTTAGTCTTGTTGCATTAAAAGTTACTTGAGTAGACTTTTGAGCTGAATTTTAGAAGGTTAGGGGATAAATAAATAAAGTTTAGAAATATATGATATAAAATCATGTAAACTTTGATGTTTTCTATTTAGATTATAATGCTTTTTTGTTTTATTTGAAAAGTTTCAACTAGAACCAAATCACAAATTGGACAGCAGTTGACCTCTGTTGGACTGTTAAAAAGTAACCAACCTCAACCATACACCCTCTTACTATTTGTCAGTCTTTACAGAATATTAGAGACATATCTGTTAAATTTTGACATCACAGGAGCCATAATAAAAAGGTAGTTGTTGTTTAAACATCAATAGGTCAAGTGTTGTAAAATCTCAGGATATTAGTGCCATTAAAAGACATCCAAGTATTGAAAAGGTCATGCTATCATAACTTGATCAATTCCTCCATTATCATATGTCCAATACTATATGAAAATATTTAACAAAGTTGATTCATTTACATCAATAAATATAGATTTTCACTTGTCATTAGCAACAGGACAGGTGCTAGAGTGAAGCAGACACTGCTAACCCTTCTTGAGCACCTTAGAACACCTTGGTTTTTGTTGGTGTTCATATTGTTCAATCTGTAGTTTTATGTGTAGACTGTGCAGTTTTGTGAACTGTTGTTTGCCTTTTCATGGTTGTTCTTTTTGGCCAATGTGTTGTCTGACCTATGGTTTTGATTGTCCTCTTGGAATCTTCTCCCTGAATGTGACCTACCGAATAAGACTTACAACCGGTTTGTACTTACATGAGCAACAGGACTGGTGTCACATGGGGTACAGGATCTGCTTACCCTTCCGTAGCATCTGAGATCACCCCTGGTTGTTTGGTGGGGTTCTTTTTGTTAAGCCTTTAGTTTTTTATGTTGTGTTTTATATACTATTGTTTGTGTTTTAGTCGTTTTCTTTTTTTGCCATGGCGTTGTCAGTTTATTTTTTCGAATGTGCCTTTGGTATCTTTCGCCTCTCTATTTCTCCTTCTCTTTATGTTTTGCTGTGATACCAGTGCAGGATTTTCTGAATTATGTCCATATATAGAATCATGAATGCGGACCCTTTTAGGTGGAATTGATCTGGCTTTGTTACTGTAAAACCTGATTCAACACACAAACCAAGAATATAACAGTTCTTATCTATTTGTATGCTAAATCTCCTTTATTGTTATTGACATAACTATTAGCTTGATGGAAATTGACTTTATTATTTACCAGTGAATGTGATAGTATGTTTGGTTGACTATAAATGACTTAAAGTGGATTTGGGGTATACATCAATAGCAGCAACAAACTCATCATAGATATCAGGATTAAAATTATGTACGCCAGACACACGTTTTCTCTACAAAAAACTCATCATTGACGCTTGGATCAAAAAAGTTAAAAATGCCAAATAAAGAACATAGCTACTAGAACTTAATAAAGCCATAAATAATTGAGATATATGTAGAGAGGTCAATTTACAACTATTTAGAATAGCTAGGAATCATATACCAAGCTCTAAATTTAATAGCTGTGTCTAGATAAGTTATGAAAAATTTAACTGAGACTTAACCAAAGCCTATTACTTTGAAGCACTAAACTTAGATAACAGGCCTAGATATAGGAAGATGTGGTATGAGTGCCAATGAGACAACTCTCCATCCAAGTCACAATTTATAAAAGTAAACCATTATAGGTCAAGGTACGGCCTTCAACACGGAGCCTTGGCTCACACCGAACAGTAAGCTATAAAGGGCCCCAATAAATTAACATTTATTCATTCTTTGGTTTATAAAAAGCAGCATTTGTTAAAATGCAGAGCAAAAAATATTACATCTGCATATGATGTAAATATAAGTTGTCCCATCTGTTACCAGTGTGAAAGTAAAGGCTGTTTCAATGGTGTGACATGCCTTTGTTACTATAATATAATACTTGAGCATATGGACCAGTTCTATGGGAAAATATGTTTTCAGAAAAAGATATAAACATAAAGTATGATTAAATGTATAAGAAGTCAATAATTGATTATGGACCTTGTGAATATCAAAAGAAAGACGATTATAACACACAAAACAGAGAAAGAAAAAAAAGGAAAAATGCACATTATTGGAATGAGATAGTGCTTATATTTATTTTAAGATTCTTATATTTTGAGATGTTTTGATTAAAAAACATGGGAAAGCACATGTTATGTGCACCTGTAGTAAATGTATGTCTGAGTTTCATTAAGATCACATTTGATGTCTTACAGGAAATTTCTCTTTCATGCTTAAAAGAGCAGTGACTGAATTATACTTATGTTAATAACTTAGTATGTTCACAGTAAGTGACACAGCACTTACTATTCCTGCAACAGATGGGACAAGGTCTTTAGAATTTACCAGTCACAATTATATCCAGATATAATATTTTTCAGAATAGAGAATAATGGGCACAAAGTGCAGAATAAAGGGCCAAAAATATAAAGAATTGAGAGAAAAATTAGGCCACAAAAAATAAAGAATAGAGAATATTAAATCAAGAGTGGAGAAAAATGGTCCAAAAAAATCTTTTCTTTTTAACTTTCTTAGAAGTTGGAAGGTGTTACAGTCACTTTGTCTTGTAGGAATACACATACTTGATAATTGTAGAGATTTTTATGTATACCTGCAGACCTCTTGTCTCAATCATGTCAAGGTTGCAATACTTGTCAGGGGAATATGCTATTCTAAACATAAAACTTGTCCCAAATGTCAAGTCATAATCTGTCATTTGAATAAGTTCATGACCAGTGTCTTATCAAGAGGGGGTGTTGAAGGGAAAGGTGGAACGGTCTGTTTCAGAATTGAGGACCACTGCCTACAGATTTTCTGAAGGGTAGGTTGAAGTTGTGAATATCATAATGGAATAGATCCAGATTTTTGTACAATATGACTCTTGGGTCTTTTTTCGTGGAATGTTTCAGACATTAGCAGCATGACATGAAAATCACAAGTTTTACTTTAAATGACAATTTATACCTTATCAGTGAATCATATCAATTGGAGGGCCTCAGTGAGTGGTCAGTTACATGTTATATTTAATTTAATATTCTAAATTACATATATGACCCCTTTTGAGATGGACCTTTTATTTAAGAATTGTCAGTACTTAATATTAATACATCTTCCTCTAAGAATTATGTCATATCACTTTAAGAGGAGGCCACTCATCTTAATGTGGCCATGCGGTAAAGAAAAGAATTGAAAGACAATAAATTCTAGATAACCAAGAATTTTGTTTATGAAAAATAGAAAAATATGTGTAATATAATAACTGGACAGAACTGATTAAAGTCTCATTTCAGAAAATTGAGACTCCCAAGGGTAACAGCTCTATTTTCATGATCCCTGATTTCTTTGAAAATCCTGGGACATAAAATACGCCAGCTCTGAAACTAAAGCTGCAAATTCTTTTTATACCAATAAAATTTCTCATTTGCTATCACTCAGATGCTGGTGATATAAATGATGTATTTATATTTGAAGATATAAAATGTTTGGGAATTATGATTTGGTTGGTGATATTACATCATAATGTAGAATTGCATGTCAGAAATCATTATGGGATGTAATAGATATCAGATCTTATGTGTTATGTACAGAAATGCTATGAATGTATGTAAACCACAGGAATGTTTACACTGTTTTCTGCTTATAACAAACAGGGCCCTTATATTGTAAATCCGGAAATTATTGCGAGGTTTTTATTAATGCGAAAAATGCGAATGGGCGAGTATCGCAATAATAAGAACTCACATTCTGATAACTGAAACATAGACCTGTATGCAGATTTTTTCGAAATTGCAATAATTAAACTCACATTTTTGTCCATTCTTGAAAAATCGCAATAATAAATACACGCAATAATTTCTGAATTTACAGTATTCTAATAAGGTGTTTGATGTGTGTATGTTTATGTATTGGGAAGAAAGGGGGAGGGGTATAATGTCAAATAATGTGTGATTGATTTACACCTCTTAACTTGGCAATAGAATGAGAACAACCCTTATGTTTATGCAGTTGTTTCCTTTGTTGAAGACCACCCCTTAAAAAGAAGAAACAGGAGCTTTTAATCATAATTATAAAATGTGAATTATAGTTATGAGGTTTAAAGTAGGAAGTAAACACAACATTGACAGGTCTCATACATGTACATGAAATACATGCTATACTGAGGGAATACTGTCAACTGTGTTAGGAATTTAAATCTGAGAAATAATTTCTAGTGGTCAAGTTTATGGAGATTGTAGTAGTCAAGCATTTACCCTTCCCTAGCCTACCTTACTCCCTCAGAATAGGAATAAAATGAATATCTGTTAATGTTGTCCTACACTGAATTCAGCTAGGTTTAATTTTATAATTATTAAATATGTATTCTGACACATCAGACTCTTAATAATCTATCTTTCCTTTTGGCAACTATAATTATTATTGCAATTGTCTTTTTTTCTACACATTTTGCTTAAAATATCATATAAAGAGAGAGTTCAGATTCTGGAAATATTTGTTGAACCAGTACCAGTCAGTTACTCTTAGAGAATAGAGTTGAGATATGTACTGAAATTTGGAGGTCTCTAAACTATTGATTCCAATGGGTTTATTAAAAGCTCTGAGTTGGAGGATCCAATTATCCTCTCTTTTACTTCTTAGGACATCTTACCTAGGGTCATTTGGATCGTTCCAGAGAACTTCTATGATTTCAAAAGACATATGGTGAATACTGTGCAAAGGCATATACTTCACTATATTTTTATCAGTCAGTCACTCTTAATTTGCTTATTCAAAGCACCTCTCTATAGCTATTTAATGTACTTGTAAGTCCAGTCAGGTCAGATAAACCCTTTGGCACCTGTAGGGACATGATATGGTTTTAGTCAATTATAGTTCATGGTAAGGACATATT